TGCTTCAACAGAACCACATCCGTCATCCAGGAGGACTGCAGCCACCATTTATACGGACTGCTACCAACACCCTGACTGACAGGGCGTCAGGTTGTATTTCTGACTGTGTTGGTGGTTGTTTCTTTTCTATTATTGCATGTATTTTATTTTTTCTCTTTTCTCCTATTAAATTGTATTACTGACTTGGAGTCTCGCACTGGTTTTACTTTCAAACCAACACATCTTGTTTCTCATGGGTGAAATGTGATGGGCTTTATCAGTTCAGCATACAATTTAGTTCTCCTGCATCTGACTTAAGAAAAATATTTTTATATAACTCCGTGTGCCAGGCAGAAAATCAGCAATTCATCTGGACAAAATAGGATTTGAGGCAAGAATCATGCGGTGGGTGAGATGCAGATAATGTATGGAAACGACAAAAAGGAAAGGGGAGGTATTAAGCTAAGGGCAGTACTGCTTGAATTTCTCAAAAGTCAGTCTCAGACTCCAGATTTTTGTTAATGATTTTGGCTCAAAAATCTAAGAGAAACTCCACAAAATTTGCTGGAGCTCAAAACTGGTGACATTGCTGATGGTATCATAAGAGAAGATCAGACTGTCATAAAGGAAGGACTTTGAGGTCCAGAGAAATCAAAATGGTATGGCACTGATAAGATTTCGAGTAGTAAAAAGGATTTCTGCTCTGAGACTCATCAGTTGTAAAAAAAAAAGAGTAGAAAAAAAGACAATTTGTATACAGAGCCATCACTATGACAAAAGTCCTAAGAAAAGCAACTCTAATCCTAAAACACAATCAGTGAGAAATTTCTAGCATGGGTTGTGAAGTATAAAAATAATTTGATACAGGGTACTGGTAATACACAAACCAGAATAATACCTGTAATTCTGGGCACATGTACACAAGATAAGATACAGGGACTTAAATGAGAACACAGAGGGAAGGGCTGCTAAAATGGTCAGCAAGTGGAGAATGGTATTGAAATGGACAGAAATGTCTATGCTGGTTTAGTTTGGCACAGTGAAGGCTGAAATGAAATAATAAAAATACATGGAGGAAAGGACAGAAACAGAAAGAGAATACCTGTTAAATAAAGAATAAATCTGGCACAAAGATTTCCAGATTTAAACGATTTCTGAATATATTTAGATTGAAAATGAAAAGGTTTCAAACCATCTCATGCATGACAAGATCAATGATTAGTGTAAAGATGTAGTTCAATAAATCCGTGAATGGGAATATATGTTGTGTCTACCTGCAGTGATTCAGTTCTAACCCCTCATTTTCACTTCTGCCGTT